CACCGTGTCGGGTGTGGATCGTTTCCCCCTGCTTACTCTCTATTTACTAATTATTGATGCCAATTTGGAAGGCTGCCTGACCACTCTGCTTGGCTTCACACACACACACACACACACACACTTATTACCAAAAATGGATAAATGCAGGGATAGCAATGTATTACTACAGAAACTTAAAAATTACTAGTGATTCTTGGAAGAACTTCGTATCAAATAATTTCTGAATTCCAAATTCAGAATGCTAGCAACACCGGAGAAGCATCTATTTTGTAAGTCGTAGAATCAGTTGTAAAGAACCAACAACGTAGGGATCAATTACATGGCGCTGTGAGATATTTACTTTGAAAATGAATTAAATAATTTTCAAGAAATTTTATATTATATTGAAGCTAAAGACCTCTGTAGGGGTTATGAAAAAAATAATAAAATAGAAGCGGTGGCTAGTACTAAAATGTGGCTGAACTGTCCATAAACTACGTAACAAAAATTTGGAGTATTTTGAACACCCCAACATCCCCTCTCCCCCTGTGAGTGTACTTGGACCTCCCTAAATAATCTCTTAAAACGTACAAATTTACAGTGAGTAAAAATAAGTAATATAACAGTAAAACAAATTGATTTAATTTTATTTTGTTATATTTTAAAATTTATGATAATTAATGTCAGATGGTAGGTAGTTGTCAATGCGAATTGCACCTAACAATAGGATTGAATACAATTTTTCAATGAAGGAAGGAAGCGTAGGTCACAAAATTGCTGGCAACAAGCTATGCACATACTTTTATGGATCATGGGCAAGAGCCTACTATTATGAATCATGAGCATTAGTCCTGTCAGTGTAGTCCAGACAGTTATTAGTCCTGTCAGTGTAGTCCAGACAGTTATTAGTCCTGTCAGTGTAGTCCAGAGAGTATTACTCATGTTAGTGCAGTCCAGAGAGTATTAGTCCTGTCAGTGTAATCCAGAGAGTGTTAGTCCTGTCAGTGTAGTACAGTGAGTATTAGTCCTGTAAGCGTAGTCCATGTGCTCATGGACCGCCACGGCTTCCTGGGAAGACGGTCCTAAAACTCAAGTATAGTTACTTGTAGCACTAGTAACTCTTCTTAGAGCTATACCTTTGTGGCCACACAAATGGTAACTCATCACAGCTGTCAAGGTCAGTCCTTTTCTGTTCTCTGGGCCCGTGATGGCTGGTCCATGTTGGAGAAAGGGCCTGTATTCCGTTTGCAAAATGAACAAAACAGTTCTACTTACTATGAGATGAACAAAGAGGATTCCTTATCCCATATTCAATTTTCATGATTAAAATGTCCAGACAAATATAATAGCCCAATGTTAAAGGGATAGAAATGCATCAGTCATGTGACTTCAGATTCACACTGGTTGATGACAAGGAAAACCTTTCTGTCCGTTTAAATATATTTGTGTTTCTGTTAAGGACTGACAAATCAAAATATGTACTACTTAAGAAATGTTGTGGCTTTTATTTTTTGGGAAATTGGTATTATTTAAATTGAAACAAATATTAATGACATTAATGATAGACAATAGGCTTACTTCTGATGTTTTACCCGGCCCCACCAGAAAAAAAAGGTAATTACAGGGGTGTAATACGTCCCGGTAAAAAAGAGTATACTATTGAAAAACCAAAAAAGGGCTTCTTCTTGTACTCTTTTAAGAGTTTAAAGGTAACTTTACGTTCGATTCAGGAGTAGTATTCAGCATTCTTCAGTTCAGATATTAAGAAACACAATTATAATTATTCTGATATGATTTGTAACCAAGAAGGACTCAGAACACAACACTGGGTGAAACAAAAAATTGAACTTTGTTTTGTAATTGTTTCACTTAATTTAAGTTATGTGTTTGGTATGTATGCCAATTATCTCTATTGTATTCTGAATTCATTTAGTGTCAATTACATTGTCTGTTTTTTAAGGTTTACCTAATAAATGCATACATATGTTTCTTCTACAGTTAATTTTAATTGCCTAGATTGCATCTTATATCCAGTTATTTTCTGCATGAAGTACAGTACTTAGCATTGATTAAATTTCTTGAAAACTTGTTCTTAAGGCAAATAAAAGGATACATAAAATGATGTAGACTGTTTAATGTATATTATAGTTCTCATCAGTAATAAAGCCAGGAAAACGTTTTTATAAATTTCTTTTTGTCTTATTGTAATATTGTACAGTGACATGAGTTCAAAACAATACAATAGCATATAAAATTATTAATATACTCTCAATTTATTTTTTGAGTGATAAATTATTCATTCACTTGTGCATCTCTTTCTCAATGTAGTTTTTAATGGTTGTATGTTTTATCCTCCTTCAGGTGTCCAATGTAGAAAATACTAGAAATCCTCTGGTTTAAGTCTGAAATGGACTCTATAATCATGAAGTTGCTGAAGGAAGAAATATTTCTGTGGTGAATAATATCAGGATATTCTCAATTGTCAATGACAGTTCTCTTATAATTTTATACTGATGAAGGTGAAATAATTACAATTAATCAACCTCAATCTGCTGTTATATTGGAACACAAATTATGTACTGTTATGAGAGTTACTTTAAAGTGATTTTGTAGCCAATACCTATTTTCACTTTTTAAATATCTCATTCAACTTGAATTTCAAATGAATTTTGCTGTAATGTAGGATATTATGGGAGAAGGTTCTGATTAAGATAAAAAATAAGTAACCAAAACATTTTTTGGATTTTTTAAGTTTTTATTGATTTTTTTGTTTACCATAATGTAGGACACATAATGTGATTTCTACATATGACATTTTTTATACAGAAAGTACATTTAAAATTTGATAATACAATCTGCATGCATTTTTTATTTTTTATTTTTAACATTTTGTATTTTTGAGATTGGGCAAATACGTTTGATTATTAAAAGCAGCAAGCAAACACATAATAAAAAGCAAACAACTAATTGCACAGTTCTTGTGCGTAAAAAGCAATAGCATTTTTTCGAATTTCCAAAGCATTTGTCTTTGCAAGAAAATGGAGTCCATTTTTTCTTTTGTCTTTTATTATTATTGCTCTCCTTTTCTCATGCCTACTCATGATTTTTCCTGCTTGTGTAGATTGATCTGGTACCCTTAGAAAGCTATCTACCATTCCAGCATTTCTAATTCTTCCCCATCCGCATTAGGGTTTTTTTCTGTTGCATTCGTTCATTCATTCATTCATTCATTCATCAACTGATTCATTCATTATTTCACTCACCCACCTATTATTTCTTTGTCTCCCTAATCCACTCTCATTCTCCCATCACTCTCACTCGCTCATCATTCTCTCTCATCAATATCGCTCTCTCATCACTCACTCTCAATACTCTCTCAATACTCTCATCACTCTTTCAAGACTCTCATTCTCTCTCTCAAACCTCTCATTCTCTCTCTCAAAACTCTCATTCTCTCTCTCAAAACTCTCATTCTCTCTCTC